GATATGCCCACTATGCTTAGGCACACAACTGTAGCCAGTGAATATCGGTTAAATGGGCCTGAAACAGGATAGCCTCCTTTCTTAATGAATCAAAAATCTCTCCCAATACAAATACATTCATTCTTAACCTCATACTTAAAAAGGACATGCTCAAATTCTAAATACAATCAGTAGAGAAAGTTTTCATCTGAAATTGTCTCCAAGTTCAAAGTGCATTTGTATAGAATTTCTGTACAACTTTTTTGCTTTTTGCATATACAATGATGGGCTAATATGTGGTATTAATTTTTGCCACTGTCCATTTGCAGTGGGTCTATCTTCTTTTGCATTGTTTTTTATTTTGATTAGCATCTTGCTGTTGAGTTCATATCCAGCACTATGTTGGCTCTTCCCATTTTTACTATCAATAGAATTTAACAGCAATTCTTTGACATTATAAAAACAAATCAAAATTATGTTTTCAAAATCCTCAACTCATCATAGAAATCAAACTGGGTGGCTGGCAGAATAACATATACATATATATATTCTGGCTATTAAAAAAACAAACGAACCAAAAAAGATGCAGTACTTATGTTTTTCAGTTTCTTTAACATTTGCTAAAATTGTTAAGAAGTCTGGCTGGCTTGTCTGCCCACTGAGGCCACATATGAACAAATGTGAAATGTTTGTGCCCACATAGTAGATGTGGCTAAGGTTGTAGCATTTCTTTCTGTCAATGTCAATAAATCTATTTTAAACCCATAAGTTTGCATGATTTCTAAAAATTTCATAATATTTGATGAAAACTGCACAGATAAATACTGTTGTATGACAATGGCTCACACTACATGTGGTTACCCAGATCACGATGTTCTTAAACCACATTAAGGACCACAACGGGTATCTGTAGGTTTTGAAACCAAGTTGGCAATTCAGTAAAAACAGAAACGTAAATGATGTCAGAATTAAATGATCATCCCTGTGAAAAACAATTAAACAAGAATTTTACTTTTTTATAAAAAAGTCTCAAAGTTTTCATGTATATATCTCTATGTATTATTTTAAAGAAGCTATGGGAGACCAAATTTGGAGGAAAGTTATGAACGTGACAGCCTCTGGAAAAGGATGTTCCAGAATTCCTTGGCCTTGGTAAAGCAGGATGATGATCTATCTTTTTATAGTTGTGTAAGCAATATGATTAGAAAAGCTCTAGAAACTTTTTCTCAGAAAAATTATTCATTCTTACAGTAAATATGAAGAGAGTGCCTATCACGTGCCGGGCAATTTTTGAGGCACTAGGAATTTGTTTCCATCATGAAAGAAATCCCTGCTCTCGTGGAGCTATATTCTTTTGGGAAATGATATAAAAGAGAAATCTGTATACTATATAAAATACTGAGAAGTGACTAGAGGAAAATCAAACAGAGAAGGGGAGACAGAGGGTGCAAGGAGACAGTGTCAATGAAACAATGAAACAGAGCCAGCCACAGGACTACAGGTACTCCAGGACCTAGCTAGTGCTGTCCCTGGCATGGAGACAATCAATAAACACTAAATAAAAGTTATTCAGACATCCTTACATTCATCGAATATTAGTGTTGGAACCTAGAGTAAATTTACTCCAATACTTTTTAATACAATGAGAAAACAGGTAGAGT